AAAAATGACAAACATATCTGTAAAAATTACAATACACCACCAAAATTAAAATTACATATAATTGTTTTCTCTCTCCTCCCTCATTATTTCCTCTTATTCTCCTCATCAGCTCCTCTCTCACTTGGACTCTACCATACGATCTGCACCACTCGCAAGTTTGATTTTGGTACGTTGGTAGGATGCAATTTGAAGCTGCAAATTAATGGAGCTCTCAAGTTCTCAAGTGGAGTGTGGAGAGAATGGGAACAATAGAAAGAGCAAAGACCTCAAAAGTAGATAGCCATTAACTGTCTTCCAAATAGATGATACTTATAATCGTCGAGCTGACCAGCAAGAAACGTACTCCTCAAGTCAATAGTAGCTGCAGCCATTTACTGAGCAAAAGCAAGAATTACCCAATCTCTTTTTAAGTAACTTTTTTTACGTGTAAGTAATCAATTGGTCAGTAAAAGATAGGGTTATCTAAAAATATTTACTCACAATGAAGTTGTTGTAGATAATAGAGATGGACATATATATGGTCAAATCAGTTGTTGAAATTCAAGAAAATTGTTTGTTTTTCAAAATTTATCAAAATTTTTATTTTTCTTTTTAATTTCTTGACATTAATTAGCATTCATAATTAATTTTTGAATGAATTGCTTTAATTTACAAAAGCTTTAGCTCTTTCCCCTCTTGTCCAAACACATACCATGCCTTACCTTTAGCTCACCACCATCACCGTCTCAAACACCTCCAACGCTTCCTCCTCATTCTCTGTCTCCTCAAACACCTAGATCGGCCGGCTACCTCTCTCTTCACTTAGCCTTTTCGCCAAAATTAAAATTACATATAATACTTTTTTTTTTTTCTCAGGGTGTATGGTTTGGGATGTATTTGGGTGCATATGTTTGCAAGTTGATTTGCTGGTTTGAATGTATTTGGGTGTATTTGTCTACCCTAATTATAGTTATTTTATTTTTAGTTTGAGGTATTATTGTCTTGTAATTTGTATATAAGGCTCCCTTATGATGACTAAGTTATAAGAAGTAAATGACTGACTTGCGTTTAAGTTTTAGCTCTAGCAACAGAAAGAACACATTTAAGTGTTGAAGATGCTTCCAAATTTAATCTCCTTTTAATTGGTTTAGTAGATAATACCCTTCATCTAATTTCTTTCCACTTTTAACCTCTTCACTCTAGCAGCTAGGAAAGTCACTCAAATAAAATATAAAAAAATATTTTTTTTCATTTATTATTTTTAGAAAATTAAAATAACTCTCATATACATTTACTATTCTTTTTTAAAAATAATATATTTTATTTCTTAATTTTGTTAATAAAATATAATTAGTTGATTTATTTGTTAGCTTATCGAAATTTTGATGCTAGAGTAACGTGGACTTAAGTACTAGAGTTGTTAGAGTGAAGACATCAAAGTTGTGGAGGGATAAAAATAGAACAAAAATAGATAAAATGACTTATCTACTATACCAATTAAATAAATATTATACCTACATGAAATACATAATAAATTTAGGGGTTAAAAATAATTTTTTTTTAAACCATTATAAATTTATAACCATTCATTTATATTTTATTTATTAATTAATTAAAAATTTTTAAATCACCCCTGGTAAATTACAAAATCCCCCTTATATAATTTTATATTACCCAAATATATAAAAAATTAGAGTATAAATGGATATTTATCAAGCCTACATAATACCAATCCTATACAAGCCAGGGCTAGGCTTCGGATCGGTTCAAACCCTCACAAAAGTGACAGGCCCAAGGACGGATCCCAACCAATTTGGACCCTATTCCTAAGAGATCGATCCTAAATTAGGACAGGTCCTCCCAAGCTCAGCCCGTTTGGCCGCCTCTATTTCCAAGTAAAAATATGCCCAACATATCTTCTACAACTTACTCAACAATAAAAACGTATTTACGTCTTACTTAATGAGAAGGGATGATGCAGATCATCATCTCCTAATTTTAATTTTACCTTAATAACCCTATGATTAGCTGTTAAGTATGAAGACAAAATGACATGTGAATCACGTTGAGTATTTACAAATAATCTAAATTTATATATACAGTATAAACAAATTAAGTGAATAACTTTTTTAATAAATTTGAAGAATTTCCACATATACCCTTAGATTCCTGTAGGGTATCTGACAATGGGGGGTATAATTTACACAAAAATGCATGCAAAGAAGTGACGTGGTAGGGGACCACATTTTCATTCATTTTCATTAACTCTCATAAACTCCATTATTAAATTTCAGAGTAAATGACATGTTCCCACCAAGGTTTAGTGAAATCCCAGGTATCCCTGGTTTCATAAATTCTGGATTCCCACCCCTAGATGGACACCGTTTCCTTCTTTTTAACTGTTAAAGGCTAAAATAATCTTTTTTTCTCTTCCCTTCCCATTTCTTCTTCATCTTTGCCTCCTCATCCCATCTTCTTCTTTTTCCCTCCACATCTCAAAACGGATGTCGTTTCAAGCCCACTCGTCTAATTCCGATGACGTCTTGACGCCCCGTCACCACCATTCGATCTGCCAACCCCACCCCCACTAAAACCCCTCTATCCCTTACCCCACAAATCTTGCAAATCACCTCTTGGCCATATTCTAAAATCAGTCCAACTGCCAGTCTTTTTACCACTTTTCAGGCTTTTTTTCACCCAAAACCACCTCCCTAAACCTCCCACACCAAAACCCCAGCCTTTCCTCAACTGAAACAATCGTCCCCACCTAGAAAACATCGGCCACAGCTGGGTTTTTTTATGAGCTGCATGACTGTTTCCAATCAGATTCTGGTTGATTTTGGCGGCCTCAACCCCAAACAACACCACTCCTACACTCATTAGCATCTCCCCTTCAAAACCCTCAAGCTTTCCGACCATGATTGCCCACTGTTCACCACCGCCACTCAACTTTGGGTTTTGCAAAATCAGTTGAAATGGGAGTTTGATTGGGTTGTGGGATTGATTTTTGATTTAGTTTTTTGTTTGATGTTTTAGTTTGATTGTTGTGTGTTGCGGTGATTGTGTTGGGAAAGAAGAAGGGTTGAATGTGGTGGTGGTTTGGTCGGCTAGGGTTGGGAAAGAAGAAGGGTTGGTTGTGGTGGTGGTTTGGCCAACTGGTGTTGGGAAAGAAGAAAGGTCGGTTGTGGTGGTGGTTTGGCTAGCTGGTGTTGGAAAGAAGAAGGGTCGGTTGTGGTGGTGGTTTGGCTAACCAGTGTTGGGAAAGAAGAAGGGTCAGTTGTGGTGGTGGTTTGGGGTGGGGTGGGTTTGGAATGGGCTATGAAGAAGAGAATGAGAGATAAAAAAGGAGAAGGTCCAAGGGTAATTTGGTAAAAGAACCATCTACCCCTATGTCATCACTAACGACGTCCATTTAAGGGTGTGAATCTCCAATTTATGAAGCCAAGGGTACCAACCTGGGATTTCACTGAACATTGGTGGGAACATGTCGTTAACTCTTAAATTTCCTCTCAAATTATCCTTATCAGCTTCCAATCACACTTCTTCTTCTTCATATTATCATTGCCCCTACTCCTATCTTTCCAAACACTTTTATTTAGAACATATTAAAATATAGATATATATACACGATATAATCTCTCTATAGTTATAATGTTTTGACCAATTAAATTTATTACTATAAAGAGGTTATAATTTAATAGAGGTATAATTACAAGAATTATTATTTTGATTTCTTATTTCATAATTCATGTTTTAGTAATATTAGAATTTCAATTCATTGTTTTAGTAACATTAGGATAATATGAAAATGGATATCAAAGAGTCCCTGTAAAATTAAGTGATCAGATTCGACAACTTTACTACACTAATCAAATGAATATTAATGTTTTCCTCAATAATCCAAATGAACAACAAGTCGTGTATATTTTAACTGAAAAAAGAAATCATTACTAGAATTAGACAAAAAGATGAAAGAGATAATCTTGAGGATGATAGTACTGAAATATCAAAAATTTCATGTCAAGAAGCTTTAAACATGCTTGAGAGTTAAAAATATTTTGGCTTCAACAAGAAGGTGTCCATGATGATGGCTTTTTATTTACCCGTAAGATAAAAGATGTGGTAATAACTCTAAAGCATAAATCATTGTCCCAAACAACTTTAGATAAATATTTCATTTCATCTTAAACTTTAATGTAACATAGCATACATTTTTTGCAATATACAGTAAAACTTCTTTATAGTCATAATGTTGGGATCAAACTAATTTATTACTATAAGGAGGTTATAACTTAATAGATGTGTAGTTTCAAAAAAACTATTTTGATTTCTTATTTTATAATTCATGTTTTAGTAGTATGTATTAGGACTTCAATTAATTGTTTTAGTAGTATTAGGATTTCTTATTTACTTTTAATATTACTTGTTTCTTATTTTATAATTTATGTTTTGGTAGTATTAGGATTTCAATTCACATTTTAGTAGTATTAGGATTTTAATTCATTGTTTTGGTAGTATTAGGATTTCCTATTTACTTTTAATATTACTTGATTTCCTATTTTAAAATTTATATTTTAGTAGTACTAGGATTTCAATTCATGTTTCAGTATTAGTAGGATTTCAATTCATTGTTTTAATAGTATTATTAGGATTTCTTATTTACTTATTCTAGTATAATTATGATTAGCCTGCTATAAATAGGGTTGTTATGTTTCAACTTATTCAATCAAGTTTTCAATAAAATCTTCCACCAATTCAAGTGATACCTTTCTTCTTCCTCTAGCAAATCAATCATGCCATCCAAAGTTAATACACAAACTCAATTGACTGAAAGAATTCGTGTTGAGTTGTGTAAAATGAAAGAATCAAACCCTAGTTGGAAGCTGAAAGATCTTGTGAAGTGGTTAGAAGATACTCATGGTCTTAAGGTATCACAAGCAGTAATATCTAAGATACTCAAACGATCAACTGACCTCCTTCAAGAAGAGTGATAGTTGAACCCAAACACAAAACATTCAAAGATGGTAAAGTACCCAGCAATGAAGTCTGCCATCTATGAATGGTTTGTATGCCATCAAGAGCATGTCAATATGAATGGTGAATTGTTAAAAGAGAAGGGAAATGTTTTTCTAAGGAAACTCTATCTCGAAGCTACCTCATTTGGATTTTCAAATGGATGGTTGGAAAAGTTCAAGCAACGACATGTAATTCATTCTTTTCGTCGTTTTGGGGAAAGTTGTTCAGTTAATATGGAGAAAATTGAAGCTAGTTTGCCACCAATAAGAGAGGAATTAGACAAATGGGCTTTGAAGGACATTTATAATATGGATGAAATTGGCCTATTTTATCGAATGCAAGCTGATAACTCTCTTGCAACAAAGCAGTTGGAGGGCCGAAAGCAAAACAAAGAGAGGATTACAATTGTTATTTGTTGCAATGGCGATAGCTCTGACAAACTTCCGCTTTGGGTCATCGGTAAGTTTCTTAATCCAAGATGCTTTAATAATGTTAATCATGATAATCTCAATTGCAAGTATCGAGCTAATTCAAATGCATGGATGACATCTTTGTTTTTTATGGAATGGCTTAAGTGGTTTGATAGCCATTTGGATAGAAATGTCTTGCTTATATTGGATAATTGTACTGCACATGGCGGAAAGGAGAATCTCCCCCCACTTCATCACACAACTATTATGTTCCTACCACCAGCTAACACTTCCAAAATCCAGCCATGTGATGCAAGCATTATTAGAAATTTCAAAGGTTATTATCAGCAACGCTTTAATCGCTTACTTTTAAAACGGATAAAAGATCATGTATTGGAACCAGAAAAGATAAGTATCCTTGATGGAATTGTAAATGCAATTGTTGCATAGTCAATTGATGTGAAGTCACAGACAATTATCAATTGTTTTAAGCACTGCAAAATTAGGACCCCCGATGTCGATGAATTGCAAGTTACAAATGAAGTGATTGAGGAGAATAGAAAAGTCATTGCAGAATTGAGTGATCAGATTCGACAACTTCACTACACTAATCGAATAGATATTAATGTTTTCCTCGATCATCCAAATGAGCAACAAGTCGTATATGCTTTAACTGAAGAAGAAATAATTGTTGCAATTAGACAAAAAGAGAAATGAAATAATCTCGAGGATGATAGTACGGAAATACAAAAAGTTTCGTGCTATGAATCTTTAAAGATGCTTAAGAAGCTAGAAATATTGTGGCTTCAACAAGAAAGTGTCCATGGTAGCGAGTTATAATATACCCGCAAGTTAGAAGATTTGGTAACAACTCGAAAGCATAAATCATTGTCCCAAACAACTTTAGATAAATATTTTATTTCATCATAAACCTTTAATATAACATAGCATATATTTTTTTTGCAATATACAAATAATTATTACTATGTGGAGGCAACTTTCCTTAAGACATGAATTAAAAAAATTATCACTTATCACAATGTAGAATTTATTCTTATTTATAACTATCTCAAATTGAGAATATAATTTTTTATGACTATGTAGAGTTTATTCCTATATAGAGTATCACTATAGAGAGGTTTTATTGTATATATAATTATTACTTTGTAGAGATAAATTCTTTAAGACGGGACCTAAAAAAATTATAATTTATTACAATGTAAAATTTATTTTTATTTATCACTGACATAAGTTAGGACCAAATTTTTTTATGACTATATAAAAGTTTTTCCTATATAAAGTAATCACTATCGAAGGTTGTACTCTTTCGTGTTAAAATTTTATAATTTTATTATCCGATGTTAATAAAATATGGTAATGTTACCGGCCGGTATGGTACGGATACAGACAACTGTATTGCATTATTATAACTCTCTCCCTCACCTTCCGAATATAACTCGTTCGTTCCCAAATCGCCCTCACTTAACAGCCTCAGCACTCGCTCTCTGGACTCAGAACCTAAAAAAGTTATTCTAAATCGCTAAAAAAAATTCATCAAATTTAGAGGCGACACAGCCGAAGTTGCTTGCGTACAGATTCGATCCCTTTTAATCTCCCAAATTTCTTCACTTCATTCCGAATTCTAGGGTTTATCTTCCCTTTCATAGATCTCACTTCATTTTGTCTGTAATTCGACTGCTCAGCGAGAGTGTCAGATCTTTGATTGCTGAGTTCGATTAAGAATTTTTGTTATTGTTGGGTGATAATGGCTGCCTTGCAGAGACTAGGGCAACCCAGTGGCGGTAACTATGGGGCTTCTTGTAATGGAGCTGACGTGGCGGGGCCGGGTCAGTTTCCTGCTGGTTTGCGGGTTCTTGTTGTGGATGATGACCATGCTTGTTTGAAAATTGTTGAGCAGATGCTTCGCCGGTGTCTCTATCAGGGTTAGTTTTTGTTTGGCTGAGGAAGAAATTGTATTCTTGAATTAATGGGGGAAACTTAAATTGGTTTTAGTTACGTTGGATGTCCTTACGTGGTCTTAGTTGGGACATAATTGCTGTTTATTTGGTATTTTCAGTTGCTTGAAATAGTGTGCTTATGTGAATGAAATTGAGTGGTCAGGTGTGAATTAATGTGGGAAATTTTTTTAATTGTTTGATTGGTTTAATTGGCTTGTTTTCATCTGTTTAATTAAGCAGTTATGGTACTTTTTATAAAGTTGAATATGGAGAGTTCTTTCTCTTCGTTTATTTGTTTATCTATTTTCTTGGGCATGAGATTAAAAACTATAGGTGCTATTTGGTGTCGAATTTTCTTTTATGTTAGTTTGAGTGGGCTGACCTTATTCACGTGGGCAAGTTTGGATTTTCATAATTGCCTAGCAATCTGGTGGATTTGTTTCAAGTTTAATTTCAAGCAATCACTTGAACAATAATGGGGAGATTGTACATATACGTCAATAGAAGAAGGTTTTTAGTATGCTGTATGGCTGCTGACTCTGAAAAGACTTCGGATTTTCTTTTGGTTACCAGGATATTTTGAGATCTCTGTGTGACTGTGTGTAAAAATATCAACTATCATACATTATTGGTTCTGCATTATTTCCCATGTTCAGAATTTATGAGAAATATTTGTGGGATATTTTGTTGTTGAATATGGCATAATTTTTGCAATGTTAGCTTTTGGTCAATTTATTCAATGTTCTTGTTGGATCGGTTGCAGTTACAACATGCTCCCAGGCAACTTGTTGCCTTGAACACTTTAAGGCAGAGTAAAGGCTGTTTTGATGTAGTACTAAGCGATGTTCACGTGCCTGATATGGATGGCTATACACTCCTTGAACATATTGGACTTGAAATGGATCTTCCTGTTATCAGTAAGTATTATTTTTATTGCTTTGTAATAGAATCTTTGTTTTGCTTCTTAAATTGACATTATAGTTAATGTTGCTTCAGTGATGTCTGCTGATGGAAGATACTCTTCTGTTTTGAGGGGAATCAGACATGGGGCTTGTGATTACTTGATTAAGCCTATACGTGAGGAAGAGCTTAAAAATTTATGGCAGCATGTTGTCCGGAAAAAGTGGAATTAAAATAAAGACATTGAACATTCAGGAGGCAGCTTTGACGAGAATGATCGCCAAAAAAGAGCAAGTGATGAAGTTGAATACGCATCTTCTGCTGATGAAGGAACTGAAGGAAGCTCAGAAGAAGAAGATGACGGTGAACTAGCTTCCAAATTGTAAGAGTGAACAAGAATGTGAGAAACTAAAATAATTAATTGTATCTTTGTTTTTTGTTTTTTGTTTTTTGTTTTTTGTCACTCTAATGAAATCAATAGCTTCCTGTGGTCGTAGTCATTTTCGACGAAGCACGGAGGGATGCAGCCAGAGGGATCGAGGAAGGTCACTTGACCCTCCTGAACTTTAAAAAAATTCATGTAAGTACATTTTCTGTCAATTTAATCCTATAAATTTTTATTTTCACATATCCTTAAAAATTTGAAGGTAATACTTCCAAATTTGGTGAATTTTTTGAAAAGTTATAATAATATATCTATATCTGTAATTCTAATAATGCAATATTTGATCATTTCCAAGTTCCAACAAGTTTCTCACCAAATTTTATTTCTTTTACTTACAAAAAACCCTAAAATGAGTCAAGTGTTTTCGTTTCTTTTCACTTGTTTCTAAAATAATAGATATTAATAATCGCATTTAAAATTTGTTAGTTAAATTTAACTACAGTAAAACATTTTTATAGTGATATTTTATATAGGAATAAACTTTACATAGTCATAAAAAAATTTATTCCCAATTCGAGATAATTATAAATATGAATAAATTTTACATTGTAATAAGTTATTATTATTCTAATTTTCGTCTCAAGGAAAGTTGTCTCCACATAGTAATAATTATTTGTATATTGCAAAAAATATGTTATATTGTATTAAGGATTTAAGATGAAATAAAATATCTATCTAAAGTTATTTGGGATAATGATTTATGTTTTAAAATTGTTACCATATTTTTTAATTTGTGGGTATATTACTCAAAAATATTTTTAGTTTCTCAAGCATGTTTAGAACTTCTTGAAACGATTCTTTTTGTATTTTCATATTATCATCCTCATGATTATTTCTTTTCTCTTCTTGTTTAGTTGTAGCAATGATTTCTTCTTCAGTTAAAGCATACATGACTTGTTGCTCATTTGGATGATTGAAGAAGACATTAATATTCATTCGATTAGTGTAGTGACGTTATCGAATCTTATTATTCAATTCTACAATAACTCTTTGATTCTTCTTATCCACTTCATTTATAACTTGCAAATTATCGACACCGGGGGTCCTAATTTTGTAATGCTTAAAACAATTGACAATTGTCTGTGGCTTCACATTAATTGACCATGTAGTAACTACATTTACAATTCTATCAAGGACATTTATCTTTGTTGGTTCTAAGATACAATCTTCTATTCATTTCAAAAGTAGGCAATTGAAGCGCTAAATTGAAACTCTAATACTATTAAAACATGAATTGAAATCATAATGTTGTACTACTAAAACATAAATTATGAAATAATATTTTTTTGTAGCTACACTTCTATTAAATTATAACCTCATTATAGTAATAAAATTAATTATTTACACCACTATGACTATAGAGGAGTTTTACTGATCAATTGGTTTGTGTCTCAATATTTCTTCCTGAAAAACTGAAGAAGTAATCATGTTAAAATATTGAACCTTGTGAATGCAACATAAACATTGAAACTATTATTGATATATCAAATTCTTAATAATTCAAAATTATCAATTTTATTAAAATATTTATCAGGTTAAGATATGATAAACAGATTACTATAAAATTGCGTTTTACAATTGTTATGCCTAAAAAGTCACGCCTATGTCAGCTCATTTAATGTTTTCTTGTACCAGCTGCCAAGCCCATATCTCCAAAGATATTCTCACCAACTATATCTCCTTTCAAGAGATGAATGGACGAGAGTCTTCCATGTGTCAAGGCAACTTGCAAAACACTCATTACATCAAGTGTTTGGGTGAATAAATGAGCATTTCTCTTCACCAAGAAGGGAGGCTGGAGGCTGGGCTGAGATTGGAGTTTTAATTCTCTCTCTGTAAAAACACTGTATTTCTTCATCTTTGTATGCCTTACGGGCAAAATCATAGAAATAGTGATAGATCAATAAAATAACAGTTGATGTAGGAGTCGCTTGTTGAGCATCCGAACCACTATAAAAACCCCTCTTGCCAATCTTTTATTTATTTTTCTGCAAAATATATAATCTCAGCTCCATATTCAAATCTCATGGATCCATCACGTGTGTCTCCTGAGTCAGCTCAGCGTTTCCCACGTACGAGTCGTTGGCGTCCAAAATCAAGCGTCAACAGTTTGGTGGCCCATACAGGTCTCGAACCTGCATCGAAGTTCCTTGATGGCGTGCTCAGATCTCAAACCTGCGTCAGAATTCTCCAATCGTGTGGCCAGATCGCAGATCGCACACGTTAGAATTCTCCAATCGCGTGGCCAGATCATAGATCGCACGCGTTAGAATTCTTCGATTGCGTATCAGAATTCTCTAATCGCGTGGCCAGATCACAGATCGCACGCATCAGAGTTCTCCGATCGCGTGGCCAGATCGCAAATCGCACGCCCATGTCGTCTTGATCCTCAGCTTCAGATCGCGGATCTTTAGCTTCAAATCGCGTGTTCAGATCGCTGATCACACGCTGAGATCGCTGATCTCTTGTGTTCTTAGGTAGAGCTCATCATGATCTCTCAGGTTGAGCTCGTTTTGACCTTTTCAGGTCGAGCTCGTTTTGACCTCTAAGATTGAGGTCGTTTTTCTCATCGAGTTCGTTTTGACCTCTTAGATTGAGGTTGTTTTGCTCATTGAGCTCGTTTTGACCTCTCAGGTCAAGGTCGTTTTGACTTCTCAGGTCGAGGTCGTTTTGACCTTTCCAGGTCGAGCTCGTTCTGACCTTTCAAGTCGAGGTCGTTTTGACCTCTCAAGTTGAGGTCATTTGATCTCTTAGGTTGAGGTCGTTTTGACCTCTTAGTTTGAGGTCGTTTTGCTCATTGAGCTCGTTTTGACCTCTCAGGTCGAGGTTGTTTTGACCTCTCAAGTCGAGGTCGTTTTGACCTTTCCAGGTCGAGCTCGTTTTGACCTCTCAAGTTGAGGTCGTTTTGCTGATTGAGCTCGTTTTGACCTCTCAGATTGAGGTCGTTTTTCTCATTGAGCTCGTTTTAACCTCTCAGGTCGAGGTCATTTTGCTCCCAAGTTGAGCTCGTTATGACCTTTCGGGTCGTTTTCCTAACAGATTTCAGGACGAGCTCCTAACAGATTTCTGGTCGTTCTCCTAACTGATTTCAGGACGATTTCCTAACAGATTTCAGGACGAGCTCCTAACATATTTCTGGTCGTTTCCCTAACAGATTTTTGGTCGTTTTCCTACCAAATTTCAGGTCGAGCTCCTACCAGATTTCAGATCGTTTTCCTAATGGATTTCAATTCGAGACTACAGCAATTCAGATCAAAGACTTAGTTTCTGAAGCGCGATTACGCACTTCAAAACCTGGGGGGCTTCTGTTATGCCTAAAAGTCACGCATGTGTCAGCTCATTTAATGTCTTCTTGTACCAGCTGCCAAGCCCATATCTCCAAAGATATTCTCACCAACTATATCTCCTTTCAAGAGATGAATGGACGAGAGTCTTCCATGTGTCAAGGCAACTTGCAAAACACTCATTACATCAAGTGTTTGGGTGAATAAATGGGCATTTCTCTTCACCAAGAAGGGAGGCTGGAGGCTGGGCTGAGATTTGAGTTTTAATTCTCTCTCTGTAAAAACACTGTATTTCTTCATCTTTGTATGCCTTACGGGCAAAATCATAGAAATAGTGAGAGATCAATAAAATAACAGTGGATGTAGGAGTCGCTTGTTGAGCATCCGAACCACTATAAAAACCCCTCTTGCCAATCTTTTATTTATTTTTCTGCAAAATATATAATCTCAGCTCCATATTCAAATCTCATGGATCCATCACGTGTGTCTCCTGAGTCAGCTCAGCGTTTCCCACGTGCGAGTCGTTGGCGTCTAAAATCAAGCGTCAACAACAATAAAGCTATATGAAACTTTGAAATATTTATATATGTGATTTATATTCTGACTTAATTTAATTAGAAATTATTATCTTTGTTTTAGCTCAATTAAGTGCTTATTAATTAGTTTAATTCATTGTGTTTTACACATGTTGCGTACAATTAATATTAAATGTATTACTTATATTAAAAAAAAAAAAAATCAATATTAGAGTACATGTTATACCTCATATTCCTTATAATTTCATTTATAATCATATTATTATTTGTAATCTGACACACCTACCTTATGTTCCTGACTTCGTCTCTGAAATCATGTAGAATTGCTTAAGTATTGTGTTGCAATTGTTTTTTTTTTTTTTTTTTTTGATTAATTGTTTTTATTGTCATTTGTATTACTTTAATTCATTAAGTCTATTCAAATAAGGTTTTAAAGTTTTTTTTTTTTTTTATATTTAATTTGTCCACAAAGTGTTAGACAAAAGTGCCCAAGCGAAACACACACAAGATCACACTAACATAGGTTTTGGGTATGTCGTAACGCTTCTAGGATGGGGATATGTATAGGTACAATCATTCCTCTTGGAATTTTTTGTATTCTTCCACTTTATCACATTAGCCAAAAGCACAAAATTATTAACTATTATATATATTGTTAATATTAGTTTAAAACAATTATGACATAATTATTATATTTTATTTATGTTTCTTTATTTTAATTTTTCTCCCCGATTTGTAATCTAAAATTTTATAATTTGCACATTCTTTTAACATGTAAAATATAGAAATATATTCAGTAAATGTTTATAGTTATAAAGAAAACCAATCTAGCCCTTAATTAAATGGTTCAGACTTATCTATTTAAATCTCAAACATTTTTATTTTAGAAAATATTATTCTCATTATATGGTAATGGTACTTAAACCGGTTATTGGTGTAATGTAACATTAAAATACAAAAATTCATTTAAACTTTTATATTAAAAACCACAAAATTTTGTAATCTAATATTTAAAAATTATGTGTCACAAGATTTTAAAATTTAAAGATATCTTATAAATTCTATGTCACAAGAATTTTAAATTTAAAATATCTTATAAACTTTTGCATCCGAAAATTTTCCGAATGTCTATATATATATATATATATATATATAGATTGGGTAAATCCAATAATTGCCTCTCCTACGACTCGAAGTTAAGACTCTTAGGTATAGCTAACTCCAATAGCCAAAGAGTTTACCATCCGTCCATAAGGGGCGAATGAATTCACACGGAATTTAGTCTAGCCAAGACAGTTTAGGACTAAAATATTTTTTTTATACATGCAC